TTCTTGATTCTGCGCTCCTATTTTTCTTTGCTGATTATTTTCACCAATTTAAATTAATGTTGTTTAAAATGCGGCGACTGTCTTGTACACGTTAGCACCCTATGGAGGTCCGGGGGGAAGAGGACAAATAGGCCGATTAATCGGCTGCACCGATTAGTCGGTGGCTAATCGGCCCTACTCAAATTTATTTATGTTACTAATCGAATAAGCATATTGTAAAACAAAGCAGAAAATAAAACAAACTCCAACAGAACAGATTTTTTTTAAATATTATCTATTATAGATAGTATTAAAAAAATTAATAAAGGTACCTCTCATTTTGAACTAGGGAGCTACTTTTATTAAATTATTCTTTATATTTTTTCTTACTATAAGCCAGTGAAAAACTGTGGAAAAATTTGGGATGTGCAAGCGGGATTCAGAAAGGGAATGGGATGTACAGATCAAGTCTTTTCCATGCGCATGATCGCGGAGAAGTTTCTGGCCAAAAACCAAAAGGTTTTTTGTGCGTTCATGTACTTGGAAAAGGCCTATGACAGAGTGGATAGGGATTTGATATGGCAAACACTGAACTCATTTGGGTTGAGCGCTGGCTTGATACAGGCATTGGAGTCTCTTTATAAGGACTCTAGTGCTTGTGTTAGGATCAACGGGGTCTACTCGGACTGGTTTGATATCCATAAAGGTGTCAGACAGGGCTGTGTGGCTTCCCCGTGGCTGTTCAACCTATTTATGGACAGTTGTTTGCAAAATTTGAAAGTTGAAGAATGCGGATTTAGAATGGGTGAGTTAACCGTCAAATGCCTTTTGTACGCCGATGATCAAGTTATTCTTGCGTCGTCGGCGGCCGAGTTGCAAATGATGGTTACATTAATGAACGGATCATTAAAAGAAAGGGGTATGAAAGTGAACGTAAGTAAGACGAAGTGGTTTTTGAAAGAGAAGAAAGTAAAACGATTTGTGAAATAAGAATATAAGGGGAGTTGATCGAGCAAGTAGATGAGTTTGTATATTTGGGCTGCGTATTTAGCAGGGATGGGAGATATGATAAGGATATAGAACGACGAGTGAATGCGGGAAATAGTAAGTGGGGCCTTGCACTCTATTGTGAAGAGTCAAAATGTGTCGAAAAAGGCACGTATGGTAATTCACAATGCTGTGTTGGTCCCTACTTTAACGTATGGTAGTGAAAGTTGGGTGTGGCAGAAGAAGCATGAGAGTAGAATAAACGCAGTAGAAATGCGGTCGTTAAGGAGTATGTTAGGGCTGAATCTGAATGACAGGGTAAGAAATTGTGTAATAAGAGAAGAGTGTGGTTTGCAAGATGATGTTGTGACCAGGATTAAGAAAGGAATGCTTCGGTGGTTTGGTCATGTGGAAAGAATGAATGAGGAAAGAGTGACAAAGAAAATTTATGATGCAGAAGTGAATGGCAGAGTCGGAAAGGGACGTCCTAGGCGAAAATTTATCGACCAAATTGGCAATTTATTGAAAACGGGCCAAATTAGGAGTACCCTTAACCGACGAGCATGTATGCGTAGATGTATGGATGTGAAGGAGGCAAGAGAGGTGTGTCAAGATCGTGCCAAATGGAAGTCTGTAGTCTCTGCCTACCCCTCTGGGTGACAGGCGTGAGTGTTTATGTTTATGTTCAATAGAGAAGGAGGCTGGGTACTACCACCTGTTTGGGATCCTATAATTAATAAAATTAAAACTAAATCCAAGCATACCACTGCAAGACTTCAAAATACAGTTAGTTCATTCTGCGTAGATCGGACCAAAGACAATAATTAAAAAGCTGAAGGTACTCCGGGTTAACTTTGACATCGGGACGTCAGTCACCTCAGTCCCCCGTGACCATGGGTGCTGGAAAGTACCCGAAACGTCGGGTATTAAAATTAATATAAATAAAACGCGATAAAATCCGTAAAAGTAGTTTTAATCAATGTATAGTGTTCGCGTAAATATAAGAAATCATTAAATTATTAGATGATTATAGATTCTTTATTTGATAACATTACAGTAAAAAAACAATTTATTATAATTTTAAGTATAGAAAAATAACAATTTGATTTAAGTTTTAGTACAAAAACAATTACAGATTTAGGTTTAGGTACAGAAACATGTATGTTCTATTTGTCTTTTAAAAATCTACATCAACGTGTGGTTTAACAATCTTTATTCAAGAATTAAGTTTTTTTTTTGTATAGCAAAGTTTTTTGAGATTCATATTACTAATAATTTATTTTGTTGTGTCACTACTCTGCATTAAGAATAGAAAAAATTAAAAGTAGAATTAAAATAGTAATAGTTAGGTTTTTGTTTAATTTTAAATAGCCACCTCAGATTCTTTTTTTTTACCAAAGTTCCTATGTCCAGAATAATTAACATTAAAATACTGATTTAAACAACTGATTTCTCAATAAAAGTTATGTATTAACCTACTTATTTTATAATTTATTTGATTTACCTACTTACATATAAATCTGACGTGATTTTACGCATGGGAGGGAAACTATTATTTTCTTAAATTAAAAACCATGCTGAAAATCACGAAAAACCTTTGCTGAAATTAATAAAATAGAAAGCCGAGTAATCGCCCGTTTTAGCCGATTAATCGCCGACTAATCGGTGACTACAAATAGGCCGATTAATCGGCTGCACCGATTAGTCGGTGGCTAATCGGCCCTACTCAAATTTATTTGTGTTAATAATCGAATAAGCATATTGTAAAACAAAGCAGAAAATAAAACAAACTCCGACAGAACAGATTTTTTTTAAATATTATCTATTATAGATAGTATTAAAAAAATTAATAAAGGTACCTCTCATTTTGAACTAGGGAGCTACTTTTATTAAATTATTCTTTATATTTTTTTCTTACTATAAGCCAGTGCTTGACTACAATCCCACCAGGTAGTGATGAAACCCTAGATGGTAAATTGCACTGTCACAACTAATCATAAACGTAACTTAGAGGCTTAAGAGGATTGTGAAGCTGTAAATTTTATAATTTTTGGAAATGTTGTAGATATAATGAAAAACTAGAACCTAGACCTAGTTTTTCATTATATCTACAACATTTCCAAAAATTATAAAAACTACTTTATCTGATTACGGCGAGAAAAATGCTATCGCTTTTTGTATGAAAATTTTCAACTTCACAATCCTCTTAAGCCTTTAAGTTACGTTTTTATTTTAAATAAATATTGTGTACGATATAAGTTGCTACTCAGTTTAATTTTTTTTCAATTAAACTTAACTGATGTACTGAAAAATAAAAACGCACAGACATAGATTAAGATGTACTGCAAAATTGTATCATTTCGTAAAGGTTTAGGGTGAAAATTTTATCACATGAAACAATATTTTAAAAAGGAAATGTAGGCAATTGCCTACAAGACTTGCAACTCTCTCTATCGCACGATAAGGCAGACAGAGTGAGTGATATGAAACAGATAGCATTTTTGAAAATACCTACTTGCGCCGCAAATCGGCACTTCACAATCCTCTTAAGCTACGTTGAAGACAATTAGATTGTAATGTTAACTAAATTTCAAAAATACATTACTATTCAGTCATTTTCTTACATTTCGGGGAGATATAGCCCAGTAGGGTCAGTTAACAATAGCGAAGCAGCAATCCGCTTACGCGAAATTCCTGAAAACATCACATAAACTCTGTTAACTTAAAACGCTTTCTGGCTAAGAGTTCGTCTATATAGCTCCGTCTGACTTATTTCTCCCGCCAAGTAGCATTGCACGCACTGCTTTGTAGAAGAAAGAAGCCATAACAGGCTGTTTTCCATGAGCAGAAAATATGTACATCTGTAATTGCTGGAAGTCGATTACAGGTTACCAGGGCTACACCTTAGCCGTTTACCATTAGGTCGGACTGTTAGCTCGTTTATCACTCTTATATTCTTTTTTCTTCTTCTTTTGATAAAGTATATAAACATGTTATATACGTACTGATGAACGTTATTTACTACTCGGCGCGGGCCTCTCCCGTTGTAGGATTTCCTTTTATTAGTACCAAAGTATCGCACCTTTGACTCTGCCGATCTCGGTCCTGTGGAACATACACATCTACATCCATCCCCAATTAAGAATATATATGCAGATCATATGGATCCTACGCATACATGCTCGTCGGTTAAGGGTACTCTTAATTTGGCCCATTTTTAATATATCGCCAATTTGGTCGACAAACTTTCGCCTCGGACGTCCCTTTCCGACTCTTCCATTCACTTCTGCAACATATAAATGTTATATGTAATTAACTTGTTTTTATCTAAACTTTGTACCTAATTTATATGTAGAGTGACGCTGCAGCTTTAAAAGTTAGCTCGACTGAGGAAGTATCACGCTTACAAGGAAAATCAGCGTTAAACATTAGCATAAGATTGCTGTCTTTTGTATGGTGAATACCGAGAACTCACGACCCTTTTTAACTTTTTACTGGTAACTAAGCATTCTATCTTAATAAACGGGGTGACAACGTACATACATAATATATAAAAAATCGTTGACTGATAACGCAACGATTTGATTCCGACGAAGCTATAGCAGCCATCTAGCTAACAGTTCTAAGTTCACAGAGACTAGATGACAAGTTCTTTTCCGTATTTTGTTTGATTCTTAATCGAGACCACTGCATCCACTACCATCACTTAGCCTCTATGCTCGCTTGGTATAGTTAGTTAATACTTTTACCCCTTTTTACTGGAAACAGGCATTCCTTAGAGGTGACAAACATTCAGATTGGTAACTATGTTCGTTCATTATTTCATATCCCATAAATTGCTTGTATGAAGCCTACGTTCAGGAGTGGACTTTGATGAGCTATAAGTTAATAAATGAATAATTGAATTAAATATAAATAATTAAACTGATTCTGAGTACATAAATCATTTTCATTTAAAAAATTTATTCTAATGATTCATTCCCCATTCGTATTGTGTACATCATTGTTCATTCATTAATCATACAAACAAGGAAATGTCATTTAACATATTCCCGGCAAGTATACACACATGTGTAGACAACGCTGCCACCAAAAGATTAAGGCGTGTGTACACTGGGCTTTATTTATTAAAGTTACAAGACGTCCTGCTGCAAGCACTCCATTCTCATTTTGTAAGGGTATATAGAACAATGAGGGTTAATAATCTTACGTTCATCAGATGTCGCTGGTTCAAGCCGAGGTGAACTCATTTGTCACACAACTGGTCATCCAGTGTCCACATCTATGAGAATTTGCGTTTTTAATGTAAGATTTTATGTTCCTAAGACACGAACATATGTTATCGGCCAAACCCGATTTCAGGCCAAACTAGTTTGTCCTAAGCCAAATCGGTTTATCTAACGCGTTTCAGATATACTAGTTTAGCCCAAGACAATCCAGTTTGACATAAACATTTTGGCTTAAATATTTTTGCCTAGGAATATATGTTTTTTAATAAGACCGGTCGAATCTGCTCTTAAACCGAAAGAGCACGCCCCGACTCTACGTACTCTTGTCTGCCCTACCCCAGGAGTGTTTTTGTAAAGTCGTAGGCGCGGAGGGAGAGCAGCCCCCGCCTGCCGTAGCAAATCGCAGGCGCCTGTGCGAGCCGCAGCGGTCGAGGCTGGTCGCCGAAGGCGACCAATAAGCCAAAGCTGCGGAAGTGAGCTTGGGTGCCTGCGATTTACTACGCAAGGGGCTGCACTTCCCGCAGCACCGAAGCTGTTGCAGAAGTAAATTTAGGTCAATAGTAAGTTAGGTTAGGTTTGATTGGATTATACAATGTTTCAATCAATTTTGCCAAGGCCAAACTAGTTAAGCCTAAAGTATTTAGATCAGACTTAATAATATGATCTTACCCTGGGCTACACTAGTATGTCCGGACACGCGTCGGATAAACCAGTTTGGCCTAGGACAAACTAGTTTGGCCTGAAATCTAGTTTGGCCACTATCATATACACAAAATAGAGTACCTCAGTCCATGTGTCCAGTCTATGTTCATCTTAAGACTTATCTGTTGAGAAACACTATTGAAGTCATTTAGCACAGCGCTTAAATCCTCCATCGATTCTGCCTTATGGACTCTATCGTCGACAAATCGAAGGTGTACAATCGGAGTGATGTACTGATCCCAACAACTACTGGCATAGGTGTGACATGGAAATTATACATGATCTTTGTTTCGTCCATGTTCATCTTAAGACCTACATTGGGACACACTATTGAGGTCATTGAGCATAGTGCTTAGGTCCTCCAGCGATTCTGCCATAAGGACTCTACCGTCGGTAAATCGAAGGTGAGTGATGTACTCACCCTTGATGTTAATACCGTATCCTTTCCAATTCAGTAGCTTGAAAATGTCTTCCAATGCAGCGGTCAAGAATTTCGGGGATATAACGTCTCTCTGTCTTACTTAGTGTCTGCAGTTAGATAGATTTTGTACTCTGACTCTTTACTTGGATAGCTATTGTAGCCAATATCAATATAATTGACTGTGTATTCAAATGCAATTAGAATGAAAATTAAGGTAACAAAAAAACTAGCTAAGCTACATCTGGAAATGTTGTCAACAAATACAAACTAGAGTTAAATAAATAGTTATTGTTAATAGGTACTTATGTGTTTTAATATTTAAAAGATTTTGTCGGCATTATTATGCGTGCCATTATTAGAATCTAAGAAGTTTGCTCAAAGTGTAAATAAAGTTCCCATATTTCTTATGAAATCGTGTATTTAATCAGTACTACGAGTATGTAACCCTCGTCAGTCCCCTGGCAGTCAAATTATCAAAAATCGATATATCTCAAAATCTATTTTAAAAAGTGACTGACCCGGTTTAGAACAATGTATTCATTACATTATCTATCTTAAATACTAACACTTAAATAAATTTAACTTAAAATGTATGTTGAGCAAAATATCCCTGAAAGTTACCCAACTTTTGTATATTCACCCATATACGAGTATATAGGTTCAGCGTGCCTATATCACTTAAGTATTTCAGTCCAGTGTGTAGTTATCCTAACATTCCTCAGCCGATCGTTACTTGCAGCGAGGCTTGCCTCATTACGGGACGGTACGGTGTCGTGTGGCTCAAAGCGGACCTGCTCCCGTACTTATTCCGTCTGCCTCTATTTCCTATCTTAATTTTGCGAGCATTTTGTGTACTAAACTAAATTAATACCTATATGTACAACTAAAATATTTCAAAAGTACGTGAGAAACTGAAGACATAATTTTTTTGAAAGCAATAAAAGTATCTAAGGCTAGATTTACACTTTAATATAAAATATGTATCTACGTCGTTACATAAATTGGCTTTATCATATTAATCGTTTTTTTTTTATTACCAAATATCAATTTTTCATAACTTAATCAGTGAAAATGATGTTTTCAGTATATTTTACAAACATGTAATTTAAATATGTATAATCCGACAGGTGGGACCTTGTTATCTATAAAACAGGTACCAGCTACTACCAACTACCTTTATTAGGCACCAGTCTCTCACAAACTAGGGTTCAATACGTTTATAGTTTATAGTTCAACCATGTTCGTCATCAATTATTCTGTATTGAAAATTATTTGTGATGAAAAAATAAATACAATTTATTTCCTATTTTATATACGCCCCACAGCTGGACATAGGCCTCTTCACACATCTGAGAGGGTTTTGGGGGCAAGAAAGCGTCCGCCGCGCCTCCCCAATGCAAAGTTCACATGTCTTCAAAATACTATTTTACTGAAAAAAAAAACTAAAAAAAAACTGAAAACAACTGAAGTTAAATAAATTAAAAAACGAGGTTGAAACTAACCTTATCAGCTTAGAGCACAGGCGCAGAGTAGCCAGCCTCTCGGTATTCTATGGGATGCATTTTGGTGAGTGTGCGCAGAATTACATGCTTTAATTTCTCCCTCTCCTTTCCACCGTCGAACAACCAGGCGGTCAGCGGGTCTTCACCCCTTTGTTTGTAGATATTCGCATTAGAACCGAACGGTTTGCCTCGTCTTTTGCGTAAAGCAAAGGAGTGGAATAATTTGCCGGCGTCTCTCTTTCCGTCCAAATACAACTGGGCGCCCAGGTGTATTTCTATAAATAGGCTTTAGTTACGCTAAGAGAGTACGATTTATCATCTAGGGCTTCATCATCACTTACCACCAGGTGGGATTGTAATCACGCATTGGCTTCTTATAAATAAAAAGCAAACTTATTTTGTAAAAACAGATTAGAAATAATTTTGAATATATTCACTTTTCATGTAGCGATCAGACTCACTGTTTTATATAGCAAGGGTTTCAGGTTCGAATCACATGGTCTGCCAATACGCTGTAGAGCAAGCAGTACACCAGGCTCTTTCTTACTCCGTAGACCTTTCAGAATTGTGACCTGTACCCAGCAGTGGAACGGTCTTATACTGTTGTTAGTTTTTATAGTAATGTATTTATTGTTTATAGTAATATGAAACGGTTGTATAACTACAAACCGTTTCATATTAAAAAGAGTCGTAATGAATATGGCAGAAACACACCTTTATCATCCTTGTTGAATGCATTCAATACAACATTTCAAAATTGTGATGTGGATATCCATTTTGATAGCTTGAATGTTTTAAAGAGGAAGGTACTAACACACTACACAGCCAAATAATTTTTTCATTTTAAAAGTTTTTTTTTTACTTCTTTGTTCTAATTTTATTATTTTATTGTAGTGATAGTTTTATAGGTTACTGTTCTCCTTAAAGGAAGTCTTTTATTATATGTTTTGTTTTACCTTTAATTTAAATGCATATATACAATTTTTTTAAGTGCACTTCATAATAATTGTTTCTATATGTATTTAGTTGGTAGGCCTTATTAAATAATTAAATATTTCTAGATCTATACATATAAGTAAAATTGAAGTATCTGTCCGTAATGTTGAAATAGCTAGCTTCTATTAAGCTCATATATAACCTTTACCAATAACATATTAAACACATATATAACCATTTTTATAATAATTGTCTGTCTGCCTGTCCGGACTATTCTTCGGAGTGGCTGAACTGATGGTGATGAATGAAGGTGATTTAGATAGAGACCAGGAGAGATCTAGGCTATATTATATTTAAAAACTTTGAACATTTTCTGACGTGACTACGTCTAATAAATCGATGAACGCCGGCTGCATGCACGAAAAAGGGTGACTCATTTGTCCCGTTACGCCGAGCCGAACACGGTTCATACCATTCGAAATGGTATGAAATGATAATATAATCTGTTCATACCATTTCATCAATATTTTGTTACGACGTTGTCACGTTAAACTATCGTCCGTAAACCAACTTTACTGACTACCATTTTTTTTAAACGAAACATTGAAACAAACGAAACAAGGTTTTACCTTTGGTATTTGATTATGTTAAATCTAAATAACACCACACTAATATATTCTATCCAGATGAATCCGGGGCGGGGCGGGTTGCTATTGAATAATAGATTGAATTAAATCTAACCAAAAAACTTTCTTCCACAGACTGCGTCCACTTACAACTGTACAAAGACCTTAAGGAGCGACAGAAAAACGGTCAGACGAAGGCGTCGCTCTCCCTGCAGCAGTATCTTGGGTTCGAGTCCGGATTCACGTTGGACAAGGAGTCGAACACTCTTGCGATATTGTGCGAGGACGTGGTGCCGGTGTTGGCGTTCGATACCAGGGAGATTCTCATTCAGTGGAGAGTTAAGGTATGATTGGTAAAGATAATTTTTTTCTCTTAAAAACGTAGCCCTCGTTACAGGGGACACATTTTTCTTTGGTATCGTTTTATATACATAATTTGCACAAAGACCAACATCCAGATCTGAAACATTACTGGTAGGCCTTTCACACATCTGTTCTGTACGGGATTCGAACACGCGACTCTGGAACGCCGCAATCAAATGCTTTATACCAAATGCTAACGAGCTGTCATATATTATGGAATCATATATTTATATATAACTAACTTAAATTGTATATTTTATATTCATACATACATAAAACTCACGCCCATCACCCAGACGGGTAGACAGAGATTACGAACTTCCATTACATTCATATAACTACATATACATTGTTTTTTTTTAATAGAAGAGGGGACAAACGAGCATGCGGCTCACCTGATGTTCAGTGACTACCGCAGCCAATGACCATCCGCAATGCCAAGGGAATTGCGGTTGCGTTGCCGATCCTTTAGAAAGGAGTAAGCTATTTTATTGAAGGTCCCCAGGTCGTAACAGTGCAGAAAAATCGCCGGTGGTAAATTATTCCACAGAGAGGTCGTATGCGGAAGAAAACTCCTATTTATATGCCATTTGCTGATATTCTAGTGTTTTAAACTTTGAAATCACCTTTGACAAACTACCCGGGTGTGTTCCAGGTGCAACACAACCTTGGCAGCAGCAAGGAGTTCGCCGCTGTGATAGTCTCGGCGCCGGCCGCCAGCGGAGCCCGACCGGGTCCCGTGCGACTCCACGCTTGCGGTCCTCGACTAGCACTCTGCGTCGCCAGGCCACCGGAGGTCCTCGCTCTCTGGGACGTCAAGTTACTAAGGTCAGTTTTTGATTTTGTTTTCAGAAGTTTCCGATGATTCTAGAAATTAAGATAAGTTTTAAACATGTAATAAACGGAAAGCTACAGATGAGGATGTAGGTTAGTTTTTTTTATATAGAATAGAGTGATAGAGTGACAAACGAGCACACAGTCCACCTGATGGTAAGTGGTTGCTGTGGCCCATAGACATCTACATCTATCCTCGATTACGAATCAAAATGCAGATACGTTGTGACCTGTGAGGACTAAGTTGGAATTATAGGTCTTTGATGGAATGTCTCGTTTCCAGTAAAAAGGGTCTCCGGTTCTCTACACTCACCATACGAAAAACAGAGCATTAAGCTACTATTTTACGCTGGTATTCTGTGAGAGCGTGGTCCTTCCCTGGTGTAGACGACCCGTTCGTGCTACAACTATACTACTAATATAACTGCAGCATTGCTCTACCACGTATAAAAATGGTGTTGTTATGATATTTAATCTAGTATATTAATTTATTAATATTATACGGGGAATAATAAATTATTCATAATATGGGGTTACTAAATGATTTTCTTTACCGTGTAAAAATTTGTTTTTTGTAAATTTTAGTAAGTATAGAGAAAAATTAAATTTCTAAAATTCTTGGAACTAGTGGTAAAAGTAAACAATTACTTTCAATAAGAATAACATGTAATTCATATTGAATAAAAATGATTCTGCTTTATTCTATTCTTATTTATCTTTCTCTGTGAATATTTGCGTATTATTTTTTTCCTTAAGCACATAAAATCACACGCTACGAATAAACAATGTAAAAGAAACATCAAATAGAAATCAGTGAATTTCACCGAAAATCCCTAATTTTACAATAAGCTACAAGTTTACTCTCTCAAAGAGGGTCGAATCCACCCTATTCGATGACTAAAACCACATTGGCACACTTGCTAATCTTACAAATCGACTTTCCGAAAAACGCCATCAAGTTTGATGTGATACCATCATTATCCGTGATTAGGGTGACCATATTATAATCAAAACTGAGATATTTGAATATTTACTTCTTTTGAAAGTACTAGGACTCCTCCTATTCTGCTTAATAATCCATTTAGGTTGATACCACTATCTTCCTTATGCCATCAAACAGAACTGTGTGTACTGTAGAATTGGGAAATTATACAGATGTGAGGCTTTCTTGTGAGGTACTCTTTGTTTGAATTCGGCTGTAGATAGACCGCAGTGACCATTTATCAGTAGAACTAAAGTTCGTTTATCGCTCAATATTATGAAAAAGAAACTGTAACATGAAATTCGTTATAAAAGCATTTTTTTTTCAAAGTTCGACAATCAACAAGTTAAAATATTTTAGAAAAAAAGTATTTAAAGTTATATATCATACTATTAATAGTTGTGACGGTGTAAGAATATCCGCTACCCCGTTTCATCCAGCGGGTGTCGTAAACGGGAACAAATCAGGAGATTGGCAGCAGCGTCTTCCTAATAACGACTTATAAAAATGCGGTTGCCAAACCACTTGCCAAGCGTGGCAACTATGGCAAATATTCCCCCCTATGAGATGATCTATGGGGGAGGCCTATGTACAGCAGTGGATTTTAATAGGCTGTAACGGATATAACTTATTGGTGAGGTGGAATTCAGGGTATTCCGAGAAACCCCCCACACCCGTTAGAGTGCAGTATAAAGTTCATTGTAGGCGTCGTACTTGAGAGATTCCGCTTAAATCATTGTACGAGTGCTAAGATAGTGCGGTGGTTCTGTCCGTTGTGGTGGTTCTTCTGGTGCAGGCAAGGAGGATGGTGTTGCTGAGTGGCTGCCCTGTGTTACGTTGCATTGGCTAGTGTTGCTGTTAGTTTGCGTACTTTGGTGTTATCATATAATTATGTCCTTTACGTTACACCAGTGTGTGATTGTGACGGAACATATTACGGTATGGTCGAACTGTAATTGCTCTACACAGAATGTATAGTACCTACGTTATGCTAATCTATTGATGATAATAATTAAATGCGCAAACAAGAGAGCAAGTTTAACATGCGCTCTCACACGTTTACTATTTTTAACAACTAACTTTTCCTGGTGTATTTTCGAAATCAGAAGTTGAATCTCGTGTTGTATTTGCTATATATGAATAAAAATAATCCCTGGGAATCGGGCTACCTCTATTATGGTGGTGTTAATAATAGTAATGATCAAGGGGTGCCCAAGTGTATACGAAAGCACAGGTGCACTCTCTATTCCCTCACTCTCTTAATCCGATGGTACGGTAATCCGACACGACCGGAAAAAGATCAGGCGCAGGACCAACGGCTTTACGTGTTTTCCGAGGCACAGGGGTGAGACACCGCCAACTTCCTGACTCCGGGCAGCTACTGAGAATTTCTTGACGGAAAAACTCAATAATTGATTTTGTTGGCCCGACCCAAGATTCAAACCCAGGACCTCATGATCTGCAGTCGCACTACTACAACCACTATACCAACGCGGCAGCATGGTGGTGTTATGTATATTATATGCGCCTAAAAAGTAATTCCGCAGAGTTCTTGCTGGTTCTTCCCAGATCATGGGTGCTTTCTGAACCTGTAGTAAATGTAATAATCTACCTTTATGAATTATATTCTATTCTGTTCTTTTCAATTACTAGTACTGATTATCCGTTATAAAACGGAATGCTAAAATGGTGAGCCTTCCCGCGCGTGAATTTGACCCAGTGGAACTGCGATGTCCGTATTTTAAAATTGAATTCGGCTGTTTTGTTCCGATGGGAAAGAACGACTAATGAGATGTGCCGAGCGATATTGAGTACGCCACTCAGGAATGAGGTGAAATATTTCACTGATTTGATAGGAAGAACATTAATTTGTTAAGAAAATGTAAGGTATAATATTTCTTTCTGCAATGTTATGTGTATATTTTATATTAAGGGGATATAGTAAGTCAGCTCAAATTCTAATTCCGCCCCCACTTCCCCGCGCGTCGTATGCTATGTACCGACATGTTTGTAATTACTAATACAGAAGTATATTTATGCCTGTTTCTTAACGCCAACCCAGTCGCTTCTTATTTTTATTACGGTTATTTCCCATTTTAATTTTACGTCGTTCTGTTGCGTAATGTGTATTCTGATCGTAAGCGACACAACTTCTCCCTTCAAAAGCCGAGGCGATACTAACAGGGTAACAGGGCTCGCAAGAATTAAGCTTCAAAACGCCAATAGTTTAGGTAATTTCTTTTTACAGTGAAAATAATGGTATTTAAAAAAAAAAGTAAATAACATAAGCACTACTTTATAGTTAGGTCAGTTAGTATGCAGAGTTTCATGATCTTATTTAAAGTATTTTATGAATAACAGCGGTTTATTGTTCAGTTTGGAGGTAACTTTGGACGTTTTTTCTATCGAGAAAATTTTATGGAATCGTGTTTACGTCTAACATAGTCCTTAACATTAATCCTCAACTTTACCATATATTTATTTCAAAATTAATGCTGCAATACCTTCGGCATAACGGAGGATCTTGTTGAGCCATTTGAGGTTATATTTCCCCTTAAGGTACGTGAGGGTAATATGGTCACCTTAAGCTTTGCCGCTCAATAAAACCAAAACTAGGCGGAGGACAGAGGCAAAAACACAAAGTTTGATACTATAACTAATAAATTAAGAAAAAAATAGCAATCATGCTTTGGAAATAATTAGGAACACATCTAAAAATGAATTTAAAAAGAACTAACTACACTACACTTTACACAATACCAAAGTCAACTAAAATATTTACTATACTCGTACTGTCTACTGTCAAAGTGGCGTCGATAAAGCAGCACCCATTTGACCCGTCATTATTTGATGGACTGATGAAGAGATATCGTGTCACAGAGCCTTCTATGCAAACAAGGCTGTAGTTTTTCAGTAATAATAAAGTGACCATATTAACCGGATGACAATATTACCCTCACGTACTATATTTAAAATAAAAACAAATAAACCAAACTAATACAGAGTTTATAATGTGCAAATAATTGAAGAGCAAACCACTGATCCACTGTTTTGTGTATTTATATAACTTTCTTTTATGGAATAAGGGTGACAAGCGAGCACGTGAAAGTCACGTAGAATCCATTCATTTAATAGTTTTATATTAACGTTACCGATTGTACAAAGTGAACTTGTTTAGTCTTTAGAGCTGACAATAAATCTGAATGTTTATGGGCCCCAGTATCCACTTATCATACGGTGGACTATGTGCTCATTTGTTCTCTATAAAATAAAAAAGCGTGGCTCTACCATCCATCTAGCATCGGACTGCAACCGTACAACATTTTCCTCCTGTCGTTTCCGATCATTAAACAACATTTTATATAAGGGCCATTATTTTTGATGTAACGTACTATATATGTATACCTAATATAGAACAACGTAACGTAACACAATAAAAGGCATATGTCGTCGAAATATGAGGAACCAACCGCCAACAGTAATGAAACGAAAATACGCTCCAACTCGTGCGAAGCGTGACTTCACAAAGGGAATTTATTGTTTCGCGGCTTCATATTTCCGAAGGTAAATTTCATTGTTGCTACAAGACAGTCGCACGTGACAGCCATTAATATAAAATGATATTTAATGACAGATGTGACGTCATTCGTGACGTTCGTTATATTTCCGATTTCAATACAGATTTGACTGCTGTCGTTTAGCCTAGAATAAAAAAAAAACTAAAGTATTTCGAATTAAAATTTATGATGTTATCTTAGGACTGTGCTAAGAAAGGTTATTCACAATTCTTCACAGTACAAAACATTGGTTTGAGATGGCAAAAGAAAGTGTTTTTGAAATCTAGTAATATTTTTTATAAAAATGCAGGGTTACATAAATACTGGTTTCGTGCGGGATTCGAACCCGCTGTTTTCAGCGCTGCAACTCAATGGTCATTCATTGCGCTCTAGAAATGGAAATTGTTACTTTCGCGTCATTAGAAAGCCCATCGTAACATACTTACTAATTATATTTAAAACAGTGTTAGTGTGATGGAATGCCTCATTCAG